GCATGTAAAGGAGCTCTGATAGCATAGGGCCTAAGGCACTTGACTACTAACCAGAAGGCTGGCGGTTCAAACCCACCAGCCACTCCTCGAAAGGAAGGTTGGGCATTCCTACTTTCGTAGTGATACTGCCTTGGAAACCCAAGGAGGGGTCGCTATGAGTCGGGGCCGACTCGATGGCAAATAACAACAACAACAATGACAACATATGCATGTGAGAGCTAGACAATGAATAAGGAAGACCAAAGAAGAATTGATGCTTTCGAGTTGTAGTCCTGGCAAAGGATACTGAAAGTACCATGGACGGCTAAAAGAACTAAGAAATCTGTCCCAGAAGAAGAGTAGCCAGAATGCTACATGGAAGTGAGAATGGGCAGACTTCCTCTCACCTACTTTGGTCATGTTGTATGAAAGAGCATTCCCTGGAAAAGGATATCATGCTTAGATAAAGTAGAAAGTCAACGAAAGAGGGGAAGGCCCTCAACAAGATGGATTGACACAGTGGCTGCAACAATGGACTCAGGTATAGCAGGGATCATGGAGGTGGCACAGGACCAGGGAGTGTTTCATTCTGCTGTACATAGGGTCACCATGAGTCGGAGATGACTCAATGACACTTATCAACAATAACAACTACATAACAATATAAGGGAGGTGCTATTAATCAGTTATACTCAAGAAACCGATGTCTAGCAAGGTAACATATTGATCCAAATAAGCACAGTGAGAAATGTCACCATTAATATTATTGTTGAGTGACCATCTACTCATGGTAACTCCATACGCACAATGCTGCACCATCCCCATGATAAGATTCAGATCAGACAGTTGAGATTCATATAGTTTTTGTTGGCTGATTTTCAGAAGTAAATGTCAGGCCTTTTCTCCTTGTCATTTTTGTTTTAGAAGCTCTGCTGAAACCTGTTTGGCATCACAGTAACACTCAGGTTTCCACTGATAGGTGGGTGGTGTTTCAGGTGCCTTAGCTGGGCATCAAACCCAGGATTCCTACACTGAAGGTGAGAATTCTACCACAGAATCACCACTGCCTCCCTTCATTAATGTTGAATCCATGCTATTTCAAATCTCATGGTGACCTGAGCACCTAACTTTGTTGAGCCACCCATACCACCCAACCCACTACCCTTAATCATGATTTCATCTTATTGTTTCCCAGCATCCACCATGCTCCAATGTTTCTTACCTTTGATCAGTTTCTGTGCTTACCTAGGCATGCACGGTAACCAGTTTGAATTGACTACATATCCTGAACTAGCTCAGGAGAAGAAACCTACTTCCCTTTCTTTCCAACTCTACTCTTGTATTGTGTCATTATTCTTTCATAGGTTGAAGTCATATTCCCCATATTTTGTGAGGTCAGAGATGGAAAATTAAATGTCTTATTTCTGTCCTACATGGAAGGAGCTCTGGTGTCATAGTGATTAAATCATTTGACTGCTAACCAGATAATTGGTTGTTCAAACCCACCAGCTGCTCCACAGAAGGAAGATGAGGCAATCTACTTTCATAAAGATTTACCAGCTTGGAAACACAATGGGAGTCTCTAAGAACTGGAATCAACTTGACAGAAGTGAGTTACTTTTTTTTTTTTTTTTCTCCCACAAGAAGGCTGCACAAGCTGCTTACTAAAACTCAAATATTTCTCAAATTGAATTGAGTTGATTATCTTTGGTAACGTAGTACATAAGCCACTTGACTGCTAACCAGAAGGCTGGAGGTTCCAACCCACCATCTACTCCTCAGAAGGAAGGTTGGGCAATCTACTTCTGTAGTGATACTACCTTCCGTAGTGATATCCCTTGTTTGGGGGTATTAAGGAAGCCTGCAAGTTAGGTTTCCCTCAAGAGTCCCCAGGTCTAGTTTTTTTTTTTTTTTTTTTTTCATTTTTCCACGTTGGCAACCTCTTAAAGTTGTTAAGATGTCCTTGCTCTTTATGGGAAGGAAGAAAGATACTCCAATTTGAGAGGTGTCCCAGGCCTCGTTGCCCTTCTTCCTAACCTTCACCTGTCTGCAACTCACTTCCTTTTTTTCTAGGTAGTGATCAGTGGATTAAAGGAACAATGCCTGGGCTATGATGGAAAAGTACCAGTTTAGGAATGTTGAAATCTTGTTCTTCAATTGTGGGAAAGTGCCTTCATCTCTCAGGTTTTCTGGCTTTTTACTTGCTTATTTAAATGTAAGATGAGAAGATGGAACTGAAAATCAGCATTTTTCAATCTTTAATGTGCACGCAAATCACCTGGGAACCTTATTAAAATGCAGATTCTCATTCAGCAGATTTGGGGCAGGGCCTGAGATTCTGTTTTTCTAACCAGCTTCCAGGTGATGCAGAAACTGCTGATCCAGGGATGAGCCTAGCATTAAGAAAGGCTAGATGCAAATTGACCTTTGGAGATTTAAACCAATCAATGACCTCCAATCCTGAATGACCTGGATGAGTTCAGTCCCAGGTTGGGGGGAGGTGACTGGGACAAAGGTTAGGAGGGAATTTGTAGCCTGAGGCCCTATGCAGCTTAAAAAAGGCCAAATGCTGGAGGCTGGCCAGATAGGGCACCAGGCAGACTGGAGGTGCAATGGGGGTGCTGCTGGGTATCTCAAGTGGGGGGCATATGGTGTCTGGTACGCACAAGTTGTTTGAAATGGGGATGTCTGCAAGGGAAAGGCAGATAGAAAAGGAGATGAGATAAATGATCCTTGCTTTAAAATTTTATTAAGAATCCTAAATGTTGCCTGAAATCTCTTATGGAATAAAGGTACGGTAGAAACAAATGAACCCAGGAGTTTTTTTCATTTTGTGTCTTTCTTTGTTTTGGGATTTTTGTGGGGAGCTACCATTTTATTTGTCCACCATACACATGAATTTAGCAAAAACATATTCTCCCAAAGTTATAGTGGACACAGCTGAAAAATAATTCTGAGACCCAATTCTCCAACATGCCCTAATTGTTCTCTTTTTCTTGATTATGGGACGACCAGACCATAGAAAAATGAAGAACAAATTCCATTCCCATTCATTTCCTTCAAACTTTCTACCCTGAGGTAAAATATGTTTGTTTGTTTTTTGGAAAAAAAAAAAAACAAACCTCAGAAATTGTGACTTTTTTTTTTTTTTTAATGTAGTTAGGCGTTTTAATTACATGTAAACAGACAAAAACTCATGACTACAAAAAAAAAAAAAAAAAGTGCATTAGTGATTCACAACAAAAGCAGATTTCCAGTTAAATATAGAAAACTTGTGGGCTCTTTAGGACTGAAAAAACCTACCTGTCCTCACCAGATTTCTTCATAGTTCACAGTTGGCTGGAGGAATTGGCACAGGAAGAGGAAATTCAAAATTGAAATAGATACAGAGAAAATAACCCACAGACTTTTTTTGCTGAGAATTTTGATGACTTGAAGCTTGAATGATACTCAAGTAACACTTCACACACACACTCCCCACCCACCCCTGCATCAAGTCAACAGGACAGAGTAGAAATCTTTACAGAAGGAGACTGCCTCCTGTTTCTTCTGCAGAGCAGCTGGTGGGTGTCAATGGCTGACCTTTCCTTTAGCAACTGAGCACTTAACCACTGTGCCACTAGGGATCATTTACTCAAGTGAATGTACATATTAAGGGGAAAATATTCCATTAAAATATTTCATACCCATCAATATTTATGGGTATGTGTCGCTTAACGTCAGTTCAAGCTAGAACAACACGTGTGTCTGTGGTCCTGTAAGATTTTGGGGTTTTTCAAAAAAGGGACAGCAGCTCTCGTTTAGTGGCTAAGGCACCTGACTGCTAACCAGAAGGCTGGCAGTTCAAACCCAACAGCAACTCCTCGGAAGGAAGATGGGGCAATCTACTTTCATAGTGATACTGCCTCAGAAACCCAAGGAGCATTCTCTGAGTCGGGTCTGACTCAAAGGCACATAACAACAGCAATGCTTTTAAGGGAGCTCTGGTGGTGTAGTGCCTAAGGCATTTGACTGCTAACCAGAAGGGTGGCAGCCCAGACTCTTGCAGCACTGGACCAGCGGTGGGATATAGGCAGTTGAGGCAGAAGACATAGCTGTGGGTGCAGACTCACAGGCTTTGTGGGGAGGGCAGGTGGGCAGCCATGGCACATCCTGGATCCAGGCTGCTCCTGCTGTGCTGGCAGGCAGAATAGCCTGCCGGCTGTGTGCTCCACTCCCTCCTCACTGGCTTCACTCTCACTCTGCTCCATCCTCTGCCCTCAGTCACTGCAGCTGCTGCTGACTGTTCCTCCACTAGCAGAGGGCTTCCAATAAGGTTTTGTTTGATATGGTATTCACACAATGTCCAAATCATATAACATCCTATTTCACAAAACTTATTGTAGATGTTAAGTGACATATAATAGTATACAAAATACTTAAAATTTAGGGAGAGTAAATGGATCCTTTAGAAGGCAACATTATTCAACCTCAAAGACTTTTGAGACTTCTTAAAAAGAGAAAGAGACATAATGGAAACATGTACTTTTATTCCCCAACAGCTGCACGTCACAAAGGAATCAAATAACAAAAGTAACAACAGTACTAGACACTCCTTGATGATATAGTACCATCAACTGGCCGGAAACTCCATCATTGTCCACAGGTAAGACTGAGACTCACCAAGTTTATTTGCAGAGACTCAAGAAGCTGGGAAGAACTACAATTAAGAAATAACTACAAATAAACCATATTCTGTATGTATTCCCATATAAGAGAAGAGTCTGTAAGCCGAAAAATAATTTGCCAGTCTAAATTTCTCCACTTGAGCCAAATGTGGCCATGTCCCAGCTTGTGAGAAGACAGGTCAACAGAAAACAAAAGACTGAGTTGAACTTTCTCTTATCTGTACCTCCACCCCCAAGTAAGGTAACAAACTCTTAAAACAAAAGCTAGAAATTAGAGACATGAGTTTTTTGGTTATTTTTGCTTTTTCCTTTATTTCTGGTATTCTCTTTCTCTCTGCCATTTTGCCTAATTTTCTACTCGCAGTAGAAGTCAATATCCTGGGGGGAGAAAAAGAAGATTGACCTGAATAGGCAGGTTCACAAAACAGATGTAAGTTATTTATTTAAAATTTTATTTAATCAGCGAGAAATGTGAATTAAAAATAATTAAAGGTTGAAAAAACTATTAAAAGGCTCTCAAATAAACTTATAATTTATGGCTAAAAAGCAAAGACAAGTGAGTCACATTTGTGTAGGTTGAGCAGTATTTTGAGGTTTTTTAAATGTTGCAATTAACTCCAGAATGGCTTCTACCCTTCAAAACAACCACATTGTACAGTAGCTTAAAGGTGATCTATTTCTTTTCTGGGTTTCCAGGAACACAGAGCATTAGAAAGTGGATGATTTTATTTCATACATAACCAAACTCACTGCCATCGAGTCAATTCCAACTCATAGCAATTACCAGTGAGTTTCCAAGGCTGTAAATCTCTATGTAAATAAATTGCCCTATCTTCCTTCCATGGAGCAGCTGGTGGGTTTGAACAACTGTTCTGGTTAGAAGCCTAATGCCTTTTCTGCTATTCCACCAGAGTGGAATTTCATACATAAGTAGAGTCTATCTACCACAAAAATAAGGCATTCAAAGATTTTTCCAGAATGCTATGATTTTATGAATTACAGATTATATTATTTTACCTCAATCCAAGTCTTTATTAGGGAGCTCTGGTACCATAGTGGCTAAGGCACTTGACTGCTAACCAGAAGGCTGGCGGTTCAAACCCACCAGCCACTCCTCGGAAGGAAGATGGGGTAATCTACTTCCTTAGTGATACTGCCTCGGAAACCAAAGGAGGGGTCACTATGAGTTGGGTCCGACTCGACGACACACAGCAACAGCAGCAAGTCTTTATTAAATAAGTGTAACAATCAGTAAGAGTCAGTTAATGTTATTTTGGATATTTTCTTTGTGTCTTGGATTCTTTCCAGGATAACTTACACCTAAAACAAAAGGGGTGAGCAGTGTGGAGAAAACTCACTAATATTTTGTCATTGACAATAGGTATAAATGCTCTTCAAAGTCTCATTATTTCACAAGTTTCCATCATAAGTTGGGAGATTTGATCTATATTGGTAGGTGCATGAAGCATTTTTAATATCAGCTCACATTATCCCAAGGTCTGAGTCCTCCTTGGCCACATCTGAGATGCTTACCGTGGTGGGAACTTCCTTGGTGGCTTCCTTGTATACACCCTTCTCATGAACCAAGGTGCTGGGGAAATAGCCAACGATGCCCATCTCATTGTCATGGTCATGATAGACCTGAGTGCCCAAAATAGTAACAGTAAGCATAATCTGACATAAGTCTTATGAGAAAACCTTATGCACCCCTCTTTGCTGAGAAAGAAAATTATCACATAATTTTCTATGCCTCTCTTTTTATTCTGGATTCCAGGGGGCTCAAAGCCAAACTTAAAGATCAATTATAGCTACCAAGTTCATGCACAGGTGGCTGCAGTGATGGGCTCAAGTATAGCAAGGATTGTGATGCTGGCTCAGGACCAAGCAATGTTTTGTATACATAGGGTCACTATGAGTCGGAGCAGCACCTAGCAATCTTTGTGTAGGCCAGTCTTACTTGTCTCACTCTTTTACCATTATTTTTTGCAGGAATCCCTAAAAAAAAAAAAAACACCTCACTGCCATCGAGTCGATTCGACTCATAGTGAACCCCCCCTTGGGTGTCGGAGGCAGTATCTCTACAAAAGTAGATTGCCCAATCTTCCTTCCGAGGAGTGCCTGGTGAGTTTGAACTGCTAGCCTTCTGGTTAGCAGTCAAATGCCCTAGTCAAGATACCACCAGGAGTTCCTAGGTGTTGCAAATGGTTAACATGCTTTGGTGCTACCTGAAAGGGTAGAGTACACATCTTCCAGAGGCACCTTAGAAGAAAAAGCTATCTACCTACTTCTGAAAAATCAGCTACTGAAATCCTATGGAGCAGAGTTCTACTCTGACATACATTGGGTTAACATGATTCTGAATCAAGTCAAAAGCAACTGGTACTGATTTTTATTTTATGTAATCTTGTGAGTTGCCTGAAATCTTTTTGGAACCTATATATAAATATGGTAAACAAGTTTTTAAAAAGTAAATAGACACTTTTATTCTAAAGGACTCATATATCTAAAATTTTATAAAATTCCAATGAACACATACTTACTTCATTACTTGAGAACCAATCTTTGGGGCTGCAGGTGAGGGCAGTAAATTAACTGTTTTATCCCTCCCCAGGTGCCCCCTTCCCTTGTATGTTTTTAATGAGAAAGCAGACTCTTTGGAATTTAAGAGGTTGCTAAAATTTCCTAAAAGAATATAGAAATTTTTATTGACTGCCAACACAAATGGCTTTTACTTGCCAAATCCTCTCAAACATTTTAAAATAAAATTCATACTCTTTGGGATATTCAAGCCCCAACGTGTTTGACTTGTTTTTCTTGCCAAAACATCACAGAAATCTACTTTTGGTTTTGTTAAGACGTGTCTTTGTTCCTTCAAAATGCAATAGTGGCACACATATATGAATTTTTACATTTACATCTACAATCTTTATGTTTTTTCTCAACAGCTTGTTTTAAAATTTAAATGCATTAGAAATAAGTAATAGAGGAAATATGAGTAATATGTGTCAAGATGTGTGTATATTTTTAAGAATCTCTTCTTACACTGCCAGCCCAAAATTCTCCCGCTTCATTTTCTTTCACCAGCTTTGAATAAACATAAATCCACTGCCCTTTTTTAAAGTTAATGAATCTACAGTCCGAAGCATTGTAATCTTCTTGAGCTCTAGCCAGAGAAATAGCATCTGTTGGGGGGCAGAGGAGGAAATGACATTTTAGGCTCTTGAATTTTATAATATTAGTAAAAAGGCAAAGCATATTAGAAAACTAAGAAATTAAAATGACTCATACATCACAAAGTAAGGCTCATGTTCAACTCAAGAAGAGTTAGATAACCAAGGTTTTAAAGCTGCATCTGAAAAAATCTTCACCAAGCAAATTCTCCACATAAAGAAACCACACTTACAGACTAACAGAAACAAGGCTAATCAAATACACAATGGAGAATAGTTATTTCAAAGTAAAATTACATTCTATCCTGTTAGTAAATATAGTTTCAGCTATATAATAGAAAGATAAGGAGAAAAGCATTTTAAAAAAATTCCTTACAGATACACTCTTCATCTGCACAGAGCTTCTTGGAAGCAAGTCTGTCCATAAATATTCCATGCACAGCCCATATGGCTACAAAACCTGTGAGGAAAAGTAAAAATATTCTCATCATCTTCCTTTTTGGTTGTTTTTGCTAGCACCTTTTGAGTAGAAGTGGAAACTGACTTTAGTGGTTCCTTCTTTTTATGTGAAAGCTGGACATCTGGATAGATGCCCTTGGCCAATGGGAACTTGTCCACAGCTCTCTGATTTCCTAATCAACTACTGGCTCCAGGGTCTGATTTTCCAAAGAGATTCCATGTCCTTTTTATACACAAACACTCTTCCAAATGGACCACAATTGTTAAAGCCTCTTCAACTGTGTATTATTTCATCAACTAACAAGGCTTTGTTGAAAGGACTCTGAGATTTTAAAATAATTCTTTTCATTTTCTAGTTCAACTCTCATTTTCTTTCAACTTAAGAGCAAAGATATGTTAACTGTAGAATCTACTGAAAATCTAACATCTGTATCTTTAGTGCAAATAATCTTGTTTTAAATAAGTGTGATTAATACACATCTAGATTTATATGATGGATAAAGAAAAGGATTAAGTTACAAACCTTTCACGACAGCAGTCTTAAAAGTAAGGATGAATTGTAACACACTAGTTGATGGCACCTCCAGCCTCTGCTGTCAGGGAAAGGAGGAAATGGGTGGGTTGTAGGAAATAAGCAAACATTTCTTACCCTCTCTCTCTGAGACTTTTGAAATTGGACCTCAAAATACTCAAGGATCATGTAGGAGGTGGTGAAGTAAAGGTCTGTGTCCCACCGCCCCCCACCTCACACCCTTCCTTGTTTCTGGGAATCTTTCCTGTGGAGAGGGAGCCCTCCAAAAGTCTCCAAAGTTGAAGTGCCATCTGTTCAACACATATTTACTGAACACCTACTACATGCCAGGCAATGTTCTAGGCACTAGAGAGACAGTAGCAAAGTGAAGTCCCTTTGTGCCAAGGATATACTTTCTACTAGAGAAAACAGAGAGTGGGTTGCTGGTTTTTATAGGGTATTTGAGGCTAACAGTTCTCATAAGGTCTCCAGAATAGAAGCCTCTGTCAGGATGTCCCGTCCATTTTGCTTTGTCATAGGGCTTCAGAGTAGTACCCCAAAAGTGGTCACTCACAAAATGAGGGACAAGCATTACTTTACAAAATCATTTTACATAGTGTTTGCTCCAAGAGGTAAATTGATAAAGCAAAATTTAGTTATAGCATAATAAAAGGAGTTATTTATTTATTTATTTATTTGGAGATGGGGGTTTGTGTTTCATATGTGGGATGTGTATGTGTGTCTTAGAGAAGAATTTTTTATACAGTTGGTCCTGATTTGGGAGCTCATTTTATTCAATACCCTCATTACAGATGAGAAAACTGAGGCTCAGGAAAGGCCTATCTAAGAGTTACTCAGAGGGATTGGGTACAGTGCTGTTTCCATTAATCTACTGTCAAATTAGAATTGGGGTTTTAAATCCTTTAGTTCCTGCTTCACTTCAAGGTAAAAATTAATTAGAAATAATTTCTAAAGCAAAATGCCTGTGCAATTTCCCTTGCTATAATCTGAGGATCTCCAAGGATCTCTGGGAAAACTAAAGCATTGTTAAATCTTCTCAGTTCTGAACCAGCAGCTTTACAGACTGTCACAGTTTCAACCCAGCCCTCAACACAGGAGAGTTAGAAGACAATTGAGTTTAAGAAGCACTTTAAGAAATGGGTTGCACACACTCTGTTTGCAGGACCCTCAACACAAGAGATGAATCCACATCCACATTAGCACAAAAACCTAGCAAAGGATGGTTAATGTTAAAAGGATTCCATTCTCAACCATTTGAAGGTAGAAATATTAAGAAAAGTATTGCCTTCTGAGGACCTGGAGCCCACCTAGGATGTCCCAAGATCTGCTGCAGTAGAGACAGGATGTAGACCAGAGGCCTATGGTAACATTTTACTTGCAAATGGGAATTTAAACTTCTACTATTTCAGCCAAGCATTTATGCATAGCAACTCTACTCAAGACTCTGAAGTCAGTGGGGTACAGAGGAGAGCTCTGTCCCAAGCTTGGTTACTTTCTCCCTCCAGATTTCTAAATGAATTTTCTGAATTTTTAACCCCCCTAAAAAAGACATTTTTTTTCCTTCAGTCCTAAATTAGCTCCTCAGGCAGGAGTTCTTAAAATGAAGGCTGTGGTCTTCAATTTAGGGTCTAAAAATAGGGTTGTGCTGGTGAGTTGGTGGGAGCAGCAATCTTGCTGTGACCCTTAAGGCCCTTCTTGAGTTGGCCCCCTGACTTTTCTGACTTTACTTCTGATCTCTCATTCACTCTGTCTTTTGAAAAGGTATTTCTGTCTTTGGCTCTTTGAGTTTACCACCTGGAAGGCTTTTCCCCCAGATTCTGGATTCAGGTGCCTGGCCAAGATGCCTGCACAGAAAGTCCAGTTTAACACAGTCACTCCCTACATTCCTCTATACAATCAAGTTATGACGTCACCTTGGTGTACTGTGTGAACACACATATCACTATCTGGCATTTCTTGTTTTCTTGGTGGTAATTTATCTACAATGAAAACTCCCTGAGGCAGGGACCTTATCTATCTTGTCCATCTTTCTCTCACTAGAACAAAAAATAGTTGCCATTCAACAGGTATTCATGGAAGGAACACATGACTCCCTGACACTATATGTTTGTTTGTATACATGCACATGTAAATTGGTGGTGGTGTGGGGGGGTAGGAATCCCTGGCTTTTATCAGATTTAAAGAGAAGTCCATAACATTCTCTAAAATTAAGACTCACTGACTAAATTATTAAGGCAGAGATTCTGGGGTCTTGCCACCAAAGTGAGATTCCCAGATAAGCAGCTTTGGCACCACTTCATAGAAATACAGACTCTCTGATGCCACCTAGAACCACTAAATCCAAATCTACATCCTAACAATTGACTCATAAGCATATTTAAGTTTGAGAAGTATTGCTTTATGGCGATTCAACCAAGACAAACCAAACTCACTACCATCGAGTTGACTCCGACTCATAGCAACCCGTCCTTGGGTTTCCAGGAGAGGTATCTCTATAAAAGTCGATTGCCCAATCTTCCTTCCGGGGAGTGGCTGGTGGGTTTGAACCATCAGCTTCTGGTTAGCAGTCAAATGTTTTAGGCAATACTCCATCAGAGCTCCCATGGAAACTCAAGTACAGCAAAAAAATTTAACTAGGGCTTTATTTACATTCTTCTTTAGGTTTTCACTAGAGACAACATATTTTTCAAGGGAAAAAATAATTGTTAAATACTCAAAGAGAAAATACTTTTAAAAGTCTTAAAATTTAAAATGGAAATGTGACTCTTATGCAACATTTCTAGTTTTAGAACTAGAAACTCTCTTCCATTTATCAATATAAGACTTTTGAAAATAAAATTTAAGCTAATGATACAATAACTGTAACCTACTTCTAAAAGGTAGAAATCTGTTGGTTATTAACCTTTGCTCAAAATGGAATCATGTGGGAAGTGTAAAAAAGTATTAATGCCTGAGTTCACCTCTAGAGGTTCCGATTTCATTGCTTTGACCTGTAGACAGGGCATCAATTTTTGAAAAAGTTTCCCAGATGATTTTAACATGCAGCTAAAGCTGAGAATCACTACTACATCTACTCCCTCCAACCAGCATTGGGATTGGAGAAAGAGTCATTAACAACCTGAGATATGCAAACAACACAACCTTGCTTGCTGAAAGTGAAGACGACTTGAAGCACTTATTAATGAAGATTGAAGACTATAGTCTGCAGTATAGATTACACCTCAACATAAAGAAAACAAAAATCCTCACAACTGGACCAATGAGCAGCATCACAATAAATGGAGAGAAGACCGAAGTTGTCAAAGATTTCACATTACTTGGACCCACAATCAACAACCCATGGAAGCAGCAGTCTAATCAGACAATATATTGCACTGGACATATCTGCTGCAAAAGGCCTCTTCAGAGAATTGAAGAGCAAAAATGTCTCTTTGGAGACTAAGGTACACCTAATCCAAGCGATGATATCTTCAGTTGCCTCGTATGAATGTGAAAGCTGGACAATGAATAAGGAAGACCAAAGAAGAGTTGATGCTTTTGAATTGTGGTGTTGATGAAGAATACCAAAAGTACCATGGACTGCCAGAAGAACGAACAAATCTATCATGGAGGAAGTGAAGTGAGAATGCTTGTTGGAAGTGAAAACGGCCAGACTTTGTTTCATCTACTTTGGTCAAGTTGTCAGAAGGAACCATTCCCTGGAGAAGGACATCATGCTTGGTAAAGTGGAGGGTCAAAGTGGAGTGGAAGATGGATTGATACAGTGGCTGCAAAGATGGCCTCAGGTATAGCAAGAATTGTGAGGCTGGCACAGGACCAAGCAATGTTTCCTTCTTTGTACATATGGTTGCTATGAGTCAGAGCCAACTCGATAGCACCTAACAACAACAACAACAACAACAACAACACTCCCTTCTATGAAACATCTCCCTAGCAGTATGCTCTCCTTTGAAGTCACACTCCCAAAGATGAATAAAACAAGGATGATGAGAAAATCCTAGTTTGACAAAATTTTTAATGTGTAGTGATCTTCTTTTCAGTTCCTTCTCTGTCATGGATTAAATTTTTCCCACAAAATATGTGTCAGCTTGTCTGGGCCATGATCCTCAGTGGTTTGGCAATTGTGTCATGATGTAATCATCTCCCATGATGTGATCTGATGTACTTAGCCAATTAGTTGTAAGAGGCTATGGTGGGATGCAACATCCTTACTCAGGCCAGAGCCCTGATGTGTGGCCTGGTGGGTGGTCTGTATCACCTTTTATCTTACAAGAGACAAAAGGAGAGAGAAGTAATCAGAGAATGGGGAAGAGAAGATCCAGAAGTAGAGCATGTCCTTTGGACGCAGGTTTCCTGAACTAGGAACTGCCTAGACCCAAGGGAAGATTGATGACAAGGTCCTTCTTCCAAAGCCAGCAAAGGAAGCCTTTCCCTGCAGTTGGCACCCTGAATTTAGACTTCTAGCTACCCTAACAAGGCTACATGCAGGATCCAAGCATG